AATTGAGAATAAACTATTAATGACAATATGGTACACTGCAATGAATATCATGTACCCAACAATATCTGTTTGTTATTTTTGTACAAATCACTTGAAAATGTTGTTTTAGAAAGTATTATAGAGATAGAGTGTAGTGTTCAGAAATATGTGTTTGCCAAAACAATACTTCTGTTAGCAATGACAATTTTTGCAAAGGGCACAGTTTGTATTTTGCTCATTCCTAAGTGCTTGAACCTAGTCTTCAAGATGGTAACATGCATGAAACCCAGTCCACTCATCATAGTGTTTAGATCGTGACATGAAAGCCAAGTGTAGCAAAAAATGCAATAATATCATTTGCTAGAATTCCCAAGTTGTCTTGGAATTGAGGGTTCCACTAATGAAAGATATTTCTTTGGCTGTCAGAGGTTATTAAATTAACGCTAGTTACCTCAGCAGAGGAAGTAATCCTGTCTTTGCTGTTCCAGTAGTGACTGCACAACTCTATATAGCGGCCAGATGCTCCTAGAACATGTTGACAAATTCTTGAGTGAAAAACAACAACACTCTTACAACTTATAATGTGATTCCAATCACTTGACCTACTGTACTTAATGGGGAGACCCTTTCATGTTATATCTCCTGAGTTGTAGAGTTGTTATTGAGACGGTAAGAAAAAGCACCCACCCACCCAACCATCATATTTTGAAATAAAGTGTAATTGTAACCATCACATTACATATTTAAGCTCTTGTACCAGGAAAGGGGCTTGCACTGTTATCACATTAATATTAACTGGGATAGTCATAAGAAAAGGAAAGAAAGATAGATTCTAATATTTTTTCAGGTAAGTTTAATTTATGGTTTAATAATAACACAGAGTAATATTTACCTTCCAAAATGGAGATGAAGGTAAACAACCATGAAATAACCAAGTTGAAGTACTGTAAATGAAAGTTGTCATGGTTACTGTAGTTTTGTGATATATATATATAACTCTTCCAAACATAATAGTTATTTTAGTGTTTAATTGTGTTGTTACATCGTGTGATAAATACATTAATGGAATCTACACTATTATCTTTGATTCCTCTGATCTCCAACATTTACACAATAAGACAATCTATTTTATAAGCGAAGGCTACAGTTGAAATTGAAAATGAGTGGTCAGTGATGTTTTCAGTTTAATATTAGTTCATTTAAAAAGTAAGTTTCTGTATATTGACATTACACATGTGAACACATGCACACAATCCACAGAGACACACAGCACACATTACTATCTTAGATTTATTGGTGATCAACTTGGCAGGTTGAGGTAAGTAGAGGAGTAATATCCCAGTTCTATGGAACACGTATCCCTGCTGCAGCCATTTGTCTGCTGCTCTTGCACACAGGCTATGTGAGGAAATGTCCAGCAGGAGCTCATATCAAGCAATGATGATTGATTGTCACGCTCAATCTCTTTAATTTAGAGGGAAATGGGAAGAGTCCGCGAAACATGGCTTAAATAGGGATCACAGGAATTGTTCTTGATTGAGACTCTGTTTGACTTGCCAGAGAAGGCCGATCAAATACTTGCTTTGAAGGTTCTTGTCAAAGTCAAAAACTATTTGACTGATTTTCTCCCTTTTGAGTGTTGTAATATAATTGAAAAAGACTACAAAGGCATTTCCCAAAGGTGCTTGATCTCCAACAGTTTAAGGGCATTTTCCCTCTACCTAAGTGATGATTTATGAGTAACTTCAGCATGTCACATTATTTTGTTGTCAAACTTGCTGTGTCACAGGACGATATTTTTGCACTAATTTGTATTATCTTTTACTGAGATAGGTTAAGATATAATCTGAGCTCAACATCTCAGTGAAGATTATCTGGTGGCTAGTTGTGGATCAGCAGTATATTTGATGGTATGTAGGGAAATCTAGCATAAACAAAGCCCAACTCAAGTTTATTTTACAATATTTTACATTATTGATGGTTTACACTGATTGTGATGAAATGAATCTCTCCATTAGTTTGCTATGTTAGTTAATATTCGATTTGCCAGTGTCTGACTACTAGATCTCACGGGCTTTGAGATATTGCTAGACAGCATGCATCTCACTATACACCAGTGTTTGGGTAATTTCTCATTCGTAACTCCTGGTGTGTCTTGCACAGGCCTGATCACTATTTAGAATGGAGCCATAACGTTGACATCTGCATTATAACACACCTTTAACCCTCTGGCTCATTCTTTATTGACAATCTGTAGGATAACAAACAGAATTGTATTGTTCGAGCCTCTTGTTGTGAAAGTGGTGTAGCCAGGCAGTGATGACAGGCTTTTGGTAATATGGAATGTTAGCGCCCTGTGCAAAAATGCAGTGTCTTGCCTGATTGTGCACTCTTTCAACAAACTGGAGTGTTTACACGGTCATCTGGTGAAATGACAACACTCTATATAACTTCAACACAGATTGGTGCAAAGTGCCCCTCCTTTATTACATACCCCAGAGGTACAGATAAGCTGCGTATCTGCGTAAATTACGCAAATATTTATGTGAAAACTCAATTCCTATTACGTCTGTTGCGTACAAGTACGCTTGTATTTTTGTAAATACTCAATAAATTTGATTGTACATGTGTACACAGAAAACTGTCAAATCTTAGCTTGCGTACCAGTGGATAGATAAAGCACTGAGGTATATTTAGAGGTTCTATTTCGGCACATGAACACTCAACTAGCAGTCTTTCATATCATTTCTCATATTACAGATCAAATATAAATAACAAACACTTACATTTAAACTTTATTATATTTTAACAATTAATGGAAAAAGGCAAAATACCCAATTGATTTTGAGTGAGGTGAGTACAATTTGTTTGGTTACTCAAAGGAAAATTAGGATACCCAATTGAGATGAAGACAAGCAGGTACATAACTCAATGACCCAAAAAGTTATCTGTAGCTCTGATACCCATTTATGTTATAATAGCAATACAGTCATGCTATAATAGGACAAGCTTAGGCGAAAATTTCCATTTTTCAGTAACAGTAACATTAATGGTGGCACTTTTAACATTTCCATAAATCTGAAAAATCAGCATAAGCATGGATGTGTGATTGTTGACACTGTGACTCTGATTTAATAAAGGCTGAACGTCGTAAACCTCTTTGAACTCATTTCTCTCTTACCATGACATCTCCTCGTCCAATAAAATTTTGCTTTTGCTTGGCTTTACAAAATTTGGAGTGGAGTAATGGATTTTTTAAAAAGAGATTCACAACAACAAAGCCAGGGTACAGTGTGAAATCAAAGAAACAACTGAGAAATAATTCTCAATGTCCTATTAGTATTTGTGAACAGAAAATCAAAATGGTGGTAACTTTTGTCCCATGCTATCAGTGATATTGGTTTACACATGTTGATTTTCCCCTTGATGTCAAGCTATATACTGTCAGCTCCACTTCATGACATCAACATTTCTCACCCATATCAAGCTCTAGTTTCATGCAAGGTTTCACCAAGAATAACTATGTACAACTTTTGAATGTAGTTATTCAGAAAAATTTACATATATTACACATCACTTTTCAACATTGATGGGTAATGCTACCCTTTTTCATGACCTTTGCATGGAGATCTTTACAAGATCCGGGTTAGAATTGATCTTCAGCAACCCATGCGTGTCGTAAGAGGCGTCTAATGGGATCGGGTGGTTAGGCTTGCTGACTTGGTTGGTCTTGGTTCCCAATTGCGTAGATCAATGCTCATGACTCGATTATTCACAGACCATCGCCATATAGCTGGAATATTGCTGATTTCAGTGTAAAACTAAACTCACTCACTAACTCACTCCTTGCTCACTAGCACTAACTACAATGAGTTTCAGTAGCTTGGTTTATCACATGGAATTGCATCAGGGTAGTGTGCTTATATAATAACAATCACTGGTTAGTTATCTCCAAAATCTTTCAATTAATTCTACTGTCAATATGGGAGGAATATTGCTAAGTGCGATGGGCAAAAAGAAAGAAGACACTTGCCCTTTTAATTATGTTGAGTTACCCATAGAGCAGGGCATGTTCACTATTTTGCCTATCCTCCTACAGTGTCAGTTTCTGCAGGTTTTCAAAACCGATTAGTCTCTTGCCTTGTTGTGAGCTGCTACTGTTGTGTAGGTTGTGCTGTTGAATTAAACTGCAATGGATTAACATGTTAGACTAATTTTGCTCAGTATGATATGGATATTTAATGTGTACATATGTGTATCCAATTGATTGAAGGGAACTGAATGGGCCATTGGGGGTCTTGTTTCATTTAGATTCTACAGGATTAATGCTTCATGGAGCATTTATAGCGGATCTTGTGGAGAATTACAGCTTTGCAAATTGTGTCAATTGACATGGACTGGGTAGAAGTCCATTAATTCTCTTCTGCTGACTCAGTAAGGAAGTAAGTGAGAGGATATAACTCTCTGATGAAATCTTTCAATGCCTTGGTGCAGAAATACATTGACATTTTTTTTACCAATTTTATGAATTGACTTCCTGAAAACTACTGGAAGTTCCTTCAGACCATTTCTAACTACAGGCCATGGGAATCAATAATTTTAAATGAAATCTTTGCCTTTAGTTTTGTGTTGAGAAATGCCTTTCTATGTTAGCCACCATGATGAGAGGTGACTCGATGTAAATTAAGCACTATCGTAATAATGATGGTTTAATCAGTGTTATTGCTTCATGTCAACTCTCAGCTGAATGTGTTAGTCGAGACAGATAATTCACAATGTACAGCCTTCTCACTGAAGATTATATTGACAGCTTGATCTCAATCATGATGAAAGTAATAGCTCCTCCCTGTGGAATATAATTTGATATTACTTGATTTTTACCATGACAATTTAAAGTTTGACTGCTTTTAAAATAGCAGAGATTTGACGGTAGTATTCTTAAAAAGAAGACTTTTGTCGTAAAAATATTTCCCACTATATTTTATTTCTGTCATGATGATTATATATTATATGTTTTGCAGAGAGGTGGAGCCAGGAGCCAGCAGAATGTCATCAGGCTCTGACAGTTCCAGTGATGGGAGTGACAGCAGTTCATCCTCTGAAGGGGAAACCTCATCTTCTGAAGGGGAAGAAGAGGAAGAAGGAAAGAAGGAGGAACAAGTGGAAGTGAAGAAAGAAGAGGAGCAAACAGAAACACCAAAAGAGGTGACACAATCCTTCTCTTCAGTTATTACTGTCATTTCAAACATTTGGATGCAATTGGATTGACATGAATAGATTCATTGCATACATTGGAATGTACATGCATTTGTATTTTGAGCTGTCTATTGTGCCCCCACCATAATTATTGTCTAATTCAAGATACATCCCTATTCAGAAGAATCATACTGAATACTCATGTATCTGTCATTTTTTCATTCAAGAGATATTTGCATGAGCCCAAATACCTTAGATGCAAACCTGAAGGAACCCAGGACTTCCTTTATTCAGAACACTGATCATCATGTTTGTGATGATGCTTCAAGGTCTCTTTTCAAGGGGTCTTTCAAACAAAACACAAGATAATCTTTTGCATGTCAGTTCTAATGGACTTCTTTCATGCAATACTATGTTTGAAGAAGCTCATCAGTTTATACATGTCAGTATGCACAGTGTTGTTGCCACCTGCCTTCACTATGAATGAACCTTTATTTGGAGTTCCCCCTCAAAGCATATGGTATGTGCAATAAATCAGTATCCATTAAGTCTAATCATAAGAATATTTGTGATAAGTTTGACTATTTGTACAGAATGTTTCTTTATTTTACTGTTTTAGACGCCATCTTGGGGCTTAGGCGGCTTTATAGAACAACTAAAGAAGTCGTCCCCTGAGGCACCAATTCCGAAGAAGTCATCTGAGAAACAGAAAGAGATTGATGAAACCAATGATGAAATGCTTGATGAAATATTGCACACCACAATCACTTCACAGACACCTCTGAAAGACATTGGTCCTGCATCCACGCTGTCCTTCTCCACAGACCATCTGGATGCTGACTTTATGTCTGAGCGTCATCAGAATGGTGCAGATTCTGGTTGTGATTTGCCAGGTAACAATGACAGAACTAACACCAGTCTGGGGAGCCTTGGTTCTCCTGACACTGCCAGTACATGCAGCAGCACCAGCTCAAAACCTTCCAGTGGAAAACCTGAAAAGAAAGGGCGAGGTAGGCCCAGTCTAAGTTCCATGTCTGATAGTTTGCATAGTACATCTAAAACTGAGGGGTCTGATTTATCCAGTTCCCTCAGTAAAAGCAATAGTGGTGCAAGCAAATCTAGAAATACACCCAAGAAAGACTCTAAAAGAGACAAACCTAAGTCTGCTCATGATGAAAAGAAACGAAGGAAAACTGATTTCAAATCTAAACCAAGGATTTCTGACAGTGAAGATTCTGAAATAGATGTTGTCACTGTTACTCCTGGCAAAGTTCCTGCAACAATGGCCAATTCTATCATTGATGAGGATAAAGATAAAGATAAATATTGCAACAAGTTATTTTCCTCCCCTAAAAGAAACAAGACATCTCCTGTTAAACTTCCTGTTTCTCAAGAAAAGGAGGAAAAAGACAATAAAAGTGCAACAAAAGACAGAGTTAAAGAAGTTAAAAATAAAACATCAAGTCATCGCAAGAAAGAACGTGATAAGGACAAAGATAAAAGTGATAATAATAATGAACGTAACCGAAGGAAAGAGCACAGATATGTGTCTTCACCAGTGTCTGATTCCAAAGTGGATGTGCATAGTGAGAAACATGTTGATGCCATCATTGAGACCACAAATGAGTTCAAACCCCCAAGTTTACTTTCCCCCTTTGCATCCCCAACCAAGACCCCCATTGCCCCATTGTTGTCTCCCTTACCAATCCCACCCCAATCTTCTTGCCCCAACTTGACTTTTGCCAATGGAAAGCCGGCCATTATGGTGGAGATTAATCTTTCTTTATTGGATCATATTCCTTCCAGTGCTAATTCACAAAGTGCTTCAGCTCCATCTATAGTCAAATCGGAAAATAAGAGTTTAGATTTTTCTGATACGGAAAAGAAAAGTTCTAATGTTGGAGCTAAACACACTGATTTATCTCATAAAAATGCTGATATTTTCCCAAAGAGTGCTGATGTGACACCAAAAAGTGCTGACAAGTCACAAAAGGGAATGGATATTTCTGAAAAATGTGCAAAAAGTACCGAAAAGAGTACATCAAGGAGTGTTGAAAAAAGTTCCAAAATTGTGGCAAAAAGTGCATATTGTGTGGATAAAAGTGCAAATAGTATAGAAAAGGGTGCAAATAATATAGATAAGAATGCAAATGCATCATCACCTGGATATAAAGAAGAGGATATGTGTGATGACACTAAGGACAATGATCCTCAGGTGACACAGGATAAAGTGCCACGATCTCACAAACGGAAAGGTGACAGTGAGCGTCAGGAGAGTACTGGTAGCAAAAGGCACAAGTCCACTTCCAAATCCAGCAAGAAGTCCTCATCAGAAGATCTTCAGTAAGTACTCCAGTGAGATGCAGTAATAGATTATTTTATTTTGAATTTGGTATGGATTTAATCTGCAGAAATCACAGAATGTGCATTTTCTCCCAGGGTTTTTCAGTCATTTCTATTGCAAGAAAATGGAAAAAAATTCAGATCAGTATTGGTTTTAAATGCAGTGCAATAACATATTCAGTTAACTCCTTTCAGGGCTCCAAATAAGTGCCGTATTGGCGTATGTACGGATGAATAATATGCACGATACGGTAGGAAATAATTTAGAAAATGAGGCAGATACGCACCACACCAATGGTGTACGGTGTTAGAATCATTTACAGACAACATTTATCTGAAAAAGTTTTGTTTTATTGTTTTTTTACCTGTTTACACAAGAGTAGCAATGTTGTGGTGCACATATCAAACAAAACACAAGATTACTGGTGCTCCATTAAATTTCATTCAGTTCTCTAAAAATACTCTAAAGGTTTTCCAGTACTCCTGTATAGAAAAATAAGGAGTACATACTACTGATGTTGAAAAATTATCTGGAGCCCTGCCTTTTATATGAAATTTACAGTTAGTTTTTCCCTGGAGTGAATATATTATATGGTGGTGATATAGACATATTTATGTGTAAGAACAGACCACCACTTAAGCAAATGTCCCAATAGGGAAACAACTAGATGTTGAAGCAGAAATCTCTTGTCACTGGAAAGGCTGACAAAAATGAAGTCTCTTTCAGGGTCTGTCTGTATGTTGCACTGTCTGACTTTCACAGAATAAAACTTTCAAAGTCAACTACCCCTGTAATTAACAGGTGTTTTCCTGTGGGCTATTGTCATTTCTGTCTGAATTTACATAGCTTGGAGGATGTGTCATGTTTGCGTTGACCGAAACAGTCGTATTTTATATACCTCGTTATGATTTTGATGAAGTGAATAGACTCAATAGCTAAATATTTAATGAATAGATATCATGTGTGTGTGAGATTGAATATATATGGAAGGACAATGTCAGAATTTTAGAAAATGAGTCATTTCGATTAGTTGTCAACCAAAAGGATTTTTCTGATTGTGTTTATTTCAAGTGAAACTGCTGTGATTCAGCACGGATATGTTAATAACTGACTTTAATATTTTTGGGATTATGGAGATATGACTGTTACAACTGATGTGCATGCTGTAAAAGTAAAGAAATAGTTGAAGTCAGCTCTTCTGATTATGTACCAGTAAGTGAGCGGTGATAGGTCGCATAGTAATCATTAACCAAAAAAGTTCTGTAATGCAACCTAAGCCCTGCCTACCTCATTATCAGCCATTTAGGTTGTTTTTAGTTTGCAGTTCTGGTTACCGAAGTCCAACATTGTTCTTGTTCAAAAGAATGTGTAAGATTTAACCAGCCAGCATCCGTCTGTATCTTGATTCATTTGTCATGAAAGTTATATAAAGAATCAGTTAATCCTGAAGTCATGGATTGAGTTAATGTACAATACCACTCGTCACCTTCCAGTGATCAAACCAAAATATGCAGTATCACCTGAATTCTTCATGGAATCAGATGAATACGGTAATCTGTCTTCCTGTCTATATTTGTCTGTATGAAAATGTATGCATTCTCCCTCAAGATTAGCAAAGTAGCCATCTTAGTGAATTAGCAGAATTGATCTGCCATTTTAGTCTGCAGCATAATGTTGTAATAAGACCAGGCCAAACAGGTAATATGCAAAGATTACTCACATCAAGCAGATTCATTCTCAAGCTGGTTGCACAGCCCAGTGTGTCAGCTCTACTTATTTTGCTGGCATTGATGAGTTTACCAGACTGATTATTGGTAATTTGTTTTGAATATAACATTTGCATGGATTTGAGTGTTTGGTGTTTGTGAGGCCTCAGCCATAATGTTGGGTTTTTTTTACAAAGTTTTTCATGATCAATGCTTCAATTTCATGACAACCTAGTAAAATAGTAGTGGAAAAGATACCAGATTTATCCCTTTGCTGATTCTTCTGTCAGTACATGGAATGAATGTGGATGGTTTAAACATTGCGAATGCTACTAGATTCTTCAATAGTTCGTAAGAGGCGACTAACGGGATCGGGTGGTCAGGCTCGCTGACTTGGTTGACACATGTCATCGGTTCCCAATTGCGCAGATCGATGCTCATGCTGTTGATCACTGGATTGTCTGGTCCAGACTCGATTATTTACAGACTGCCGCCATATAGCTGGAATATTGCTGAGTGCGGCGTAAAACTAAACTCGCTCACTCACTCTTCAATAGTACAGGTAATCTATAACTTGGCATGAAAGGATGATCTACATTTAGTTGAATTTCTGTAGACCATGTGAACTACAATAATAACAACGACATAGAAATACCTTTGAAAACAATTAGACACTTTCATAATTCCAATAGCTGATAGGTTGCAGATATTGAACCATGGGGAAAGACTATATTCTTTGTGAAAAGGACTTAAAATCATGATAAAGTAATTATCTTATGGATTGAAAGGGTGAGACCACCAAACCATGCTTTCATTTTGCCTTGGATTGGTTTCAGTTCAGCAAATTTTAAGTCATGCATAAGTAAACAACATGGGAAATTTGAATGATTCTTCAGTAATGCAGATGTGATTCATAATGAAAACGTAATTTTGATTTTTTTCATAATTGAAGTGTAGTGTTTCAAAGCTCAGTCCCAGGTATGTTTTAGGTTACTCTCTGAATATAACCTGCAGAAAGTTGATATAAATCACTTTTGTTCTGGAATATACGTAATGATTAGAATTGAGCTGGCGATGTTAACACAGGCAGGTCATTGGTATTGTTATAGGATGTTATCCTCTCCAGAAGGAAGTGTTTTTTTCATAACAATATCTTGCATATTTCTCAAAACAACATATTGGCCATAATGAATCAGGTGGGATAAACAGACTTGTGTCACTTACTCTTGTCAGGATCCACCAATTGTTGATTTGGAGCCTACATTTAAATTGCTGTATTGTTTGTTACCCCTGTTAGCTGGATTTGTTGTAATGAGGATTTGAGATTTCAGGCATTTATGGCTTCTTTAAACATGGGATGAATGATCCCATATTTTATACTTTTATCTATGATAGAAAAATACACTTTATCATCAAAATAAATCCTCACATTATCAAACATACAGAGATTCAGACCAGTGCCAACGGAAAATTTGTACATTTTCGTAAACTCACTGCAATTGTGTGATTGGCAATGCATTTTTTTATTCCAAACAAATGTTTAAATGTGTCAGACATTACCCTTGTAGGGCTTATTGTATTTGGTTAATGTGCATATACTTCTGGAAGCATTTTGGGGAGGCGGTGGGGTAGCCTAGTCGTTAAAGCGTTGGCTCGTCACGCCGAAGACCCGGGTTCGAATCCCCACATGGGTACAATGTGTGAAGCCCATTTCTGGTGTCCCCCGCCGTGATGTTGCTGGAATATTGCTAAAGCCGCGTAAAACCAAACTCAGTCAGTCTGGAAGCATTTTCTCCCATTTTCTCCCTTGTATTGCAATCAAACTTTCTGCTGTTGGGTGTATGAGGGTGCATCTGCCACCACAAAGCAAGGATTGTTGAGAAGTCTGATTTTGAATAAAATTAAAAGAAAAAAATGATTAAAGTTAATTTTTGAATAATCTAGCCCTAAACAGGATTGAATGAAATAAAATCATGAGTAACAATATTCATAAGAATATTTTTAGATAGACCCAAGTCAAACTGAATGACAAACTAGATAGAATTAGAAACTTGAAAGCCTTCATATCTGAGTCATCATTTTCCCGTTCTATTTTTACTTGTGTAACTCTACAGTTATACAAGTAGAAAGAGAATCATAAATAACAGACAGATTTCTTTTTAATGCCAGTGTGCTACAAAGTCCTTTTACCAGGTCAATCTGCCTAGATTCTCACTAAAAATCTTCAATATTGTGATTGTCTTTCTGTAGTAATGGACCACTTACAATATCATGTTGTTAGGATGACATCATATCAACTTGTTATGTGTCTTCCCACAATTATTAATATAAGAAAAGATCTGAACATTGACCGCATCACCCATTTGGATTTTGGATTTAGAATGGCAAAACTTGATGCTACACATTGGAGACACAATGAGAAAAATATGACACAAACGAGTGATGACATCTTTTACCCAGGTCAATTGAAAGTGAACAGGTGAAGATGATAAAATGATTGAGGAGCTGGAATTGTTTTCTTTCAACCAACCAAAAATTATCATCAAATAAAGAAATGACAACTATTTAACTCAGAATATGGGACTTCATGCCACTGAGTGTTAAGTGTCTCAAGTAAACAATGTCGGTTAAGGTGGTTGTCTGATAAGAAATTTAACCTACACCTTTTTCACTTGCTGGAATTTCTCGTTTAGGTACATGAACTACTGAAAAGCTTTGATGTTTAGAAGCTGAGCATTTATTATACCATGCATAATTAAATGATATGTAAAGACAACTTGTTGAACCAAATGCTATCACCTGTTGCATGACTTCTGCCTCAAATGCACTGTGTATAGAATGTTGTAGCATTGAGACCATTAACTTTCCTTCTGTCAACACCATGAATCTACTCTTCAGATTCACCAAGTGGTAAATGATTATGACTAGCAGCACATTTTGGCATTTCTAGTAATGAGCCATATCTTTTTGAAGATGTAATTAAGCTAGCATCTCTATGGATGTAGTCTAGTTGTGCAAAATGGGACATAGAAGGAAGTCCTTCATGTGACTATGTTCACACTTTTGTCATTTTTGTCTTGTGTGACTGACAAACATTTGTAGTTACAAGACACACTTTCTTTCCTTCATTATTCTTTATCATAAGATCTCATTTTATTGTCATAAGAGAAGTTTTGTAGCTACGGTATGTAATTTGACTTAAGCTTCATGTTTGCTAGTGGGTTAAAGTGCAGATGAGACCAGAGTCAGGCATGGTGTTTGAAAGTGCACACATCTGTAACAGTGATTCTCACAGATGTGGACAATCTTGGTTTGCATATAATACAGTAAATCATATATCATGTACATTAAAAGTGATGATCTGATATGTATTTCATATATGTTTTTCAAACAAATAACAGTCACAGTCTGCCGTATGGAACCTTGTACAACACACCGAATAGCATTATTAGTTGCTGCTATAGCGTTGACCACTAAACTTTCCATTTGACAAACCCTAGCTTGTGAGTTGCGATGGACCTGTAGAATGAAAGACTCTTTGGGATCACACTGTATATTCCTTTACTTCTACCATAATGACAGGACACTGACCTGGGCCCAACAGGTTATATTGTGTTTAACTGGCTGGACTTAAGCAAACCTTAGCCAAGCAACTCAGTTCAACACAAGGTCATTACAATTGAGAGAGGACAACAATAAACATTTCTTCCAAACCTCACCGGCAGTGTCAACAAGGATTTTGTAAGATTTCAGCTCAAACACTACAGAGCAGTGCTATCATTTCCGGGTTTGCACAACTGCTGAATCAAAAACATACTGAATATTTTCAAGAAGTTTAACACATACTGTAGACCGGTGACATTCTTCAAGTTATTCCATAAAGTTATTTTTTATTCAACACACAACTAATTTTTTTCATTGTCACCTATGTTCTTCTAGGCCTTAGGTATTGGGTCATTAATGTTTCCATGTTACATTAATGATAGTTTTGTTAAACTTTTACTGTATCAATATATAACATCTGCTTGATCTGTAGCTATGCACCTACCTTGCTGTTCAGTATTAAGTGGTTCTGCAAACAGTGTTCTTATCTACCAAACTTCTCGTACAAATACAGTGACAAAACCCTTCCTGATCTTTAGTAAACTGTGCTTAAGATGAGTCAGGTTGTATGATTGTGACATTATAAGCATGTATTCATGAACTGCTATCAAATAGTGATGAAACCAGGTGTTTACAGGCAGGTGAGGCTATCCTGGCCCACCAGTGCCAAACACATACAAATGTAATGCGACAGCTCACCTGAACAAACATGAGAATGTATGTTTTGGTAGTATTGTCATTGTACTTTATCCCAAATATGAGTAACGGATTTTCAATTTGTCACTTTATATGAAGAACTGAGTACACAGGTTCGGCTGTTCGCTTGGGATAACTTGACTTTAACAGTATGTGATTGTTGTTGAGGTAGTGTCATCAGGTTATAATGCACAGGAAAGAGAAATGATTCTGTTACTTTGATGAGATTTTGCTGATTCAATGGCTTATTTGGCTTGGCCTCCATTTAGACCCAAAGAAAATGGATATCTTTATACACCTTAACATTGATGCTGGTCAATTGCAGACCTCCAAAGAAAAATAAATATTTTGGTCCCTTCAGGTGAATTTTTGCATTGTAGGTAATGTTGGTTACAGTTAAAGGCTTTCGGACAGGGTAGTATGTTCTCAAAAAGATAATTTGGGGTGTGTTTTATCAAGGGATTATTTCAACTGGCCATCCTTTGGTTTTATTTCTGCTTATGCTTGCTCACCATCATTATAATGATAAAAGTTAGCTTTGTCTCATTTATCCAACTTTAAAGACATATACAAATTGTGTGAAGGAAATGTGTGTTTAGCAAACAGTATTTTATTGGTGCTTCAAACAGTTGTCTCTGTTTGTAAATGTGACATGCTGCTGTTCAGCCTGTGGTTTTCATTAAAAACTACTCCAAACTCTTGACTTTAATGAGAGGGTGAGTTATGATATGGTCCTTTTTTAGGATTAGATATGCACAACTTGTGAAGTGGTAAGAAACATATAAATATGAATGACAAGAATTTGTTCTTCTTTTAACATATATTTTGATACTTGCTTGTAAAAGTGGTCTAATACTTGAAAGTGAACAAACCTTCGGCTCAAGTTCATTTTAATATCTTATCAAATGTAGGGTGAAAAGATCATCATAGGTTGCCAAAGTCACAGATTTGGAGAAAAACATTTTATGATTGTGGAAATAAAATAAGCCATAGTACCAACCTTTCATTCACGCGAAATCAAACATGAAGAAATTGTGAACTATCCCCATGTTTCAGTTTTTGACAAGAAAATAAAAGGGCCCTTTGGGGCCCCAATGTAGAGATATTACTATGAAAAGGGGGTACCACAAAGTACCTGTTGGTGCCTACCATCACTATGTATGTCCCATTTTACTTGTGATTTCCTATTTATGTAAAAAGTCATGGATGGAAATAAGGCCGACCGGTCATTAAATCAGCTTCCTGTCCTAGTGCTAGTGACAACAGAGCTGCCCTAGTCTTGGTGATCTCAGAATCTTTGAATGGGCGTCTGTTCTTAACTGTCCTGCCACATCCTATAACCCTTGAAATTACCTTTGTTGATGAGGGAGTGTTGTACTCAGTGCTGGTGTTTCTTCTCCAGGAAGGGGAGAGGAGGGAGTGTTGTTTAAGTTGTACCATTGTTTCTTCTCAAGAAAAGGAGAAAGTGATGATGAGGGAGTGTTGTATTAAGTACTTATGTTTCTCCTCCAAGAAGGGGAGAGTGGTGAGGAAATAGTGATGTATATAGAGAATACTACACGAGGTCTCATTACATACAAATTATACGAAAAGAGTGTCCTTCCTATGGTATCTGACCGAGAAAAAGCGAGGTCACAAGTTTCGTATGTAATGAGACCTCATGTGGTATTTATTACCCACGTCTTACATGCATTTAATTAACAAAATAGCGTATTTTTGTTATGTTTTTGGTTTCAAACCATAACCGGTTTCATAAAGAGGTTGCGGATGAGTTTTGTACTGTAGTACAATATCTTCATGACGTCACACTGTAGTGACGTCACTGCCTTGGTAACCGACGTCAAGATGCATGTCAGTTGTCATCGCCTCGTACAGCCTCCCACAGTAAACTACTCCGTAGCACCTCATTTCTTGGTTTCCAAGTTGCTTCATTCGGCTTACATCACTGGTGGAAACATTGCGTTTATGTTTTTCGACAGATATAATGTCTCAGTTAGGCTCACAATTAAACAGCGACACGGCAACGTTCGCAATGTTTACGTTCCCACAATGCATTTAAGTTGTAGAATGAATGAATTCACGTGTTTGTTGTGAATGAAAAAATAGTTACGTCAGAATGTGACCTAATTGAGAGGTCATCGGTTATCCAATCAAATCGTTAGAATCTCAGGTCAAGTCGTTACGGCACAGGTCATCGCGATACGACACTCGTGTGACGTATGAGATTAGTATGCAACTACCCATACGTTGACCTCTTGGGTAATAATAAGTTGTACCATTGTTTCTTCTCCAGCAAGGGGAGCGTGATGAGGAGGTAGAGTTGATGAGGAGGTTGAGTTGTATTCAGTACGTTTCTTCTCCAGCAATGGGAGCGTGATGAGGAGGTGGAGTTGTATTTCAGTACATGTTTCTTCTCCAGCAAGGGGAGTGTGATGAGGAGGTAGAGTTGATGAGGAGGTTGAGTTGTATTCAGTACATGTTTCTTCTCCAGCAAGGGGAGTGTGATGAGGAGGTAGAGTTGATGAGGAGGTTGAGTTGTATTCAGTACATGTTTCTTCTCCAGCAAGGGGAGTGTGATGAGGAGGTAGAGTTGATGAGGAGGTTGAGTTGTATTCAGTACATGTTTCTTCTCCAGCAAGGGGAGTGTGATGAGGAGGTAGAGTTGATGAGGAGGTTGAGTTGTATTCAGTACATGTTTCTTCTCCAGCAAGGGGAGTGTGATGAGGAGGTGGAGTTGATGAGGAGGTGGAGTTGTATTCAGTACATGTTTCTTCTCCAGCAAGGGGAGCGTGATGAGGAGGTAGAGTTGATGAGGAGGTTGAGTTGTATTCAGTACATGTTTCTTCTCCAGCAAAGAGGGAGTGTGATGAGGAGGTAGAGTTGATGAGGGAGGTTGAGTTGTATTCAGTACATGTTTCTTCTCCAGCAAGGGGAGTGTGATGAGGAGGTAGAGTTGATGAGGAGGTTGAGTTGTATTCAGTACATGTTTCTTCTCCAGCAAGGGGAGTGTGATGAGGAGGTGGAGTTGATTTCAGTACATGTTTCTTCTCCAGCAAGGCTAGCTTGATATGGATGTAGAGTTATATTCAGTACGTTTCTTTTCCAGCAATGGGAGTGTGAAGAGGTGGGAGTTTTACCTTGTGTTTCACCTCATTAGGATGTCCTTCTGTATTAAGTAGTAACATTGTAGTCCTCCAGAAAGGATGATGGGGTAGTGTTGTATTAACATGTACCACTGTTTCTTCTCCAGTAATGGCAGCCAGGAAGGGGAAAGTGAAGGTGGTGGCAAGTTGCGAGCTGGGGAAAGACGGAACAGTTCATCAAGCACATCTAGTCGGCACAGTATTACCAGCAGCAAGTCTAAGAAGATGAAGATCGAAGATAAAATCAAGAAAGAGCCTTCAAGTCCAGACAAGCATAAAAAGGTAAACATTGCATTTAGTCCATTGTCTAAATATTTTATAGATTGTGAATTCTCAAGAATTACAATATGTTGTGATGGCAGTTTAGCTAGGCAACAGATTGCTTATATTTGTGTGATACTAGCAAGTGTAAGTAAAGGAATGAATGAGAAACACTATAATGTCTGCTGACAACACTTTACTGACCTGCTGACAGATCTGTCACAAAACAAGATTATGCTAGATAGGTATGTTTAATGCAGAAATTACACCAGGCAATGTGGGAATCCATTGGAGTGTTTTTATTTGTTTTAAGCATAATCCCCAGCTCTAAAGTTTACTCAGAATTTTGCTGGTCCACATGTCATATTCTACCCTCACAGATCAGTTCTGTTGAAAATTGCATCTGAAACAACTTGATTGAAAATGCTAAGGCACCGATAGTCCATCTGGTTTATTTATTGCTAAAGGATATGCATCTATTTGAAATCATTAGTCCATCAACTATAGTTTTTTTCAACCCTGGCTCAGAATCAGCAGCATAAATGTTTACACCAAGGATGCGACAGCTGCAGTGAAAAAAACACCTGTTTCTGGCATTTGACTGCGCATACCACATACTGATAACTGATGTTTACTGAAGAGATGTAGAGTAGATGTAGAGTAGGATGATGTTTTCTACATCATCTGGTTACAACCACAACTTCAATAGAATCTATACTTCTGCACAAATAACTATAGAGTACTAATTAGACATCTTCGATTTTGCTGTCATTTGCTGTAGCACATGCATGAGGCTTCCGCAGATACTGATTAAAATTATCTGCAGTGGCAATCAATATTTCCAATAACATAAATATGTTGTAAAAGAGGCAACTAAGATATTTTGATATTGGAATAAATATTATCTGATAAATTCTACTTTCAATCAAGCATTACAACATAATTCTCTGACATTATATTGGGTATTTTTTAACTGAATCACAGATAGATTTCTTGCAAATAGGCATTTGGCTGATTTCAAATGTCCAGCTTATGTCATGAGAACACACACAGTCCAATCTGTATGTCTGCGTGCATTACTGTAGCTAGCAGTATAGAAAATACAATTTGAATGGCAAAGCATCATATCTAGTGATATTTTATCTCAGATCTCGTATTTCATTCACCACGTTTGTTATCACCTGTTAGTTTTTCTGAAGTATTTTTTAGTGTATGTAAGACTGATTTGATTGGTAGCTTCGGGACAGTGTGGTAGCCGAGTGGTTAAAGCGTTTGCTCGTCACACCGAAGGCCTGTGTTTGAGTCCCCAAATGGGTACAATGTGAGAAGCTCATTTCTGGTGTCCACCACTGTGATATTGCTGGAATATTGCTAAAAGCAACGTAAAACCTCACTCACTCACTCACTCACTCACTCACTGGTAGATTCATGTATTATGTCTTATAAGCATTAATAAACAACAAGACCACGTCAGTTGACTCTACCTCTTTATTGTATATCCTTTGTTATGATAGACAACTTCTCATTCTTCGATCCTCCAATAGGTATTGCTTTGTCAGTGCAGTCAGACTACCATCAAACACAAGTAAAACCAGTCGAAATTTAGTCCATAGTAAGCAAATTTGTATTCCGCAAAGAAACAACCAATTCTTATTTCAAGGTTTTCAAAGCTGGAGTTTTGTTTCCCTTCAAACTAAAAGAACTATCGAGCATTGTCAGACCTTTTTAATAAATTTCATGTTGGAGGTCCTAACACAGATGTGCATTTGGTTGTAGTTGAGGAGATATATATGTAAATAACATGTGGAAGTGATCCCTTGCTGACAAGTATTGTTTTGACCCAGTACTGGAAGTCCCCTATAATCATCTTACTTACACCAGCTCCCTTTCTAAACACTTAAGCATGCAGGCCTTTAAGTGCAGCCTGGAAAATCCCCCATTCAGACACAGGTCATGATAGCTTCAGCTTGTCACGAGGAGAAACTGCATTCCTATGATATTCTCAACATGTTTTCTGCATCAAGGATTTTATTGTTTTGGGGAAACTGCTCGTAAGAATGGCATTTTGATATAATTTGGAGACTCATAACCTTTTTACACATTTTGAAACAGTTAATTTTAGCTTCAACTCTCATCCTTAAGTGTATATTCTTTGTGCTACCATTGATCCAAGTGTTGGTTTATGTGTTTATTTTTTGGCAGACAAGAAGTTGTTCAACATACAGACATATTTATAATTTAGCCAAACTAAAGGAATACAAATATTTTCACCCAATTAAGATGTTTTGATAAAAAAGCATTGTCTTTGGTTTAATACCCTGATACTAGTCAGTTTAACTTACACACATGAAATTAGAGATGTGTTCAATGGGACTCTTGCATTTGTGTAACATCTTCTATAATAGCTATTAGAGACGTGACCCGGGCTTTATCAGGATCAGTTCTGCTAACAGGCTACATGTGTACCCTTGCTGATATGTTTGTGTGAGAGAGACACAGCCATGATAGCTGGCCCAGAACAATGATGACTGGCTGACATTCCTGTCTTGTTTGGTCTGGCAGTCAGTCAGCTGATATGCTGCAGCTTATACAGAACTAGTTACAGTAAACATGGCTATACCAATTGATCTTGTTCACAGGACAAATCTCTGGTTTCACTACCTTTAATGTCCTATTGTACATGTAAACAGCTCATGCTGCCTTCGCAATGAAAACTTTGTTGGGATTAGCATAATGTTTCAGCAATTTTATGTTGCTGATATTTTTCTACCATTTGTATTTCCTTTCTCCTTCTTCTTTTAGTTGTGACGTTTTATATGCATTATTAAACGTCAGAAAGAAGGATATCAGATATCAGAGAATGACAAATCAAATATAATCAAAGATGTTTTCAAAATCATCCTTATCGTTTGTAGACAACTGGTAATTTATGAAATACATATCAGCTCTTATCGTTTGCTCCTATTTTAAGCAGCGTCAACAGCAAGATAAGAATGATGTGCCTCACCAAAATGGCCAGGATCACCTGCCCTTTCACTCTTACAATGAAGGAAGTAGTGTCAAGTCAGACACAACTCAGGATAATGCACCACGGGTACCACAATCTGGATGTCACCAGGATGAAAAGTGAGCTTTAAAGAGTCTCAGTACATTTAGTAGTTTAGTGTAGACTTATTGCAAACAAAACTGTAAAAGAAACCCCAACTTTATGTGTAGACGAAATGTGAACCTCCTCTCAAGGAACCATCTTCACAGTATACCTTTGTTTCACACAAAGGAACATTAATGACTAATTGTTATATTGTCCATACATTATCATCCCATGAAATCAATGAATGATAACGTTGCTGTAAATGTGTTGCAGGTTGGAATCAGCAGAAAGATACTTAACTAAGGCTAAGGAATTGAAGCACCTTGCTGATGTAAGTCACTGTTATCTACTGTACTTCATGCCTTGTAATTGTCTCCTCTGTTGTCACATGATGTATCATGTTGCTGAAGAGCTCCACTTACACATGATTATTGAAGTTGGTTGTTTAATGCCACACTCAACAATTTTCTAGTTATATGACAGTGGTCTGTAAATAATCGAGTCTGGACCAGACAATCCAGTGACTGAATATTTATCATCTTCATTTACATAATGTAACAGATTATTGAAGATATCTAGATTGTTGAAGATTCCACTTTGTCATGATGTATATGATATTGCAGAGGAGCTCCAAGTATATTTCATGTAGCCTACTGCAGATTGCTGAAGAGCATATAGGCATGACATTGTTGTATTGTAATTATTTCTTCCACACAGATACTTGTCCATCAGTGGACAGCCCTATTTATTCCTGGCTTTGTTGCATGTTTAACAGAAGGACAAACCGGCCAAATTCTCCCTGTACATCAAGTCAGTGTTGTCATTCGTCCAGTGTGGCTGTGCCATGGAGAAGGAGGCAATTAGTGAACCTCAGAAGATATTCACCATGTATTATGAAACACTTCAACTACTCAAGTGAGTAACATCATCAGTACACATGCTATAAACACAGCATGCTATAAACACAGGATGATATTTTGGAACTGTATTGAACAACTATTCTGTACAAAGATCACTGCGTCAATTTTGCACAAAGATGGAAGTAAAATTATTTTGTAGTACCATATTTACTTCTGTATGCTGCACATACCCATTCTGGAGTGGAGATTTCTTGAAAAAGTGCCATCAAAGTGAAGACTATGTTTGAGCAAACAGGATATTACAAACTGAAGTGACAGGATAAATCTTGACATTATACAGACAGAAATTCATATTCTGACAGCAGTGTTAGGTTATTTAATATTGGCTTCTGAAAGTGTTATCGAATATCTGATCATGTATTCTTTTGATACAGACAAGTGATTCGTGTGCGGGTAACATGCATTGACCCTGATATGCCCATCACAGACAAGAGGTTATCAGTATTATTGTAAGTATTTGGACCTTTCTCTGGGTTAGATTCAGTAAATGTGCTACCAAACTTTACAGTTACCATGGTTACAAATAATGTGTATCTTGCATTCACTATCCCAGCTATGAATGATTTGTGTTTGACACTGTTTCTGTCTGGTAGAAACTGACCACTAGTCTGTAAGTGTATAGACCTTTGTCCATGGCTGGACAGTATGAGTCAGTAGTCAGCGTGTAATCTGTATGTCTGTCTGCAAGACAAAGCAGTCTACTGGCAATAGGGTGTGTGTGTCTGTGTCATCTGCTGACACCAGACAAATGAGATGAATCTGCTGCGTATTGCCCCAGACAATCACTGGAGAAGCTGGAGAAGCCCCCGAGGCATTAGTCACATTATTCGTGATGCATCACTTCATCATGTTTGATTACTTGTCATAACCATACTTACTGCTGATATATTTGTCTGACCTGTCTGCTGGTTCTTAAGGCTGGCTAGACTGGGAACACTTTGCTTGTAGCAGTCACTAACATTAGGAAGATTTAATGGCTTCTTGTGATATGACAGAGTTTTGTTGTAGACTTTGGTAATAACAATTCTGTTGAGTTATGTTGTCTGTGCCAACTGTCCTAATGGTTACTGGTGTATATTTTATGAGAAAGCTCATGATAGGATACTTTCTCTGTTTCAGATTACGCATCCAGTCATTGTTATGTCTCAAGTTATTTCAGTTAAAGAGGCCAGAAGTATTGAAATTCAAGAAAATCATCGATGGTGACAACACCAAAGTAAGTACAAGGAAGCACAAAGTACTGCTGTCTATGAAACTTTCATCTAAAGTTACCTCTTCATTTGTACTTCTTGCTGATACAACACATTCTTAGTTTGGAAATGTTACAATCTCTCCATGTACTGTCCATTCAAGTAGAAATGTTAAAATTCAAGATTTATGTTGCATATTGAGGTTGTGAAAATGATCATTGTATGAATAGTGTAAAAAAATCCTGAGGGTACTGCTCACTTTGATGTGTGTTAAGCGGAACATTTGTCAGCCAGTCTCTGAATCCTGATTTGTGTTTTGTAGACTGCCTCAGCCAAGTCCCCCCATCTCAGCAGCATCCCAAACCGCAGTATAGGAACCCCACCTCCCATCTCCCCAACACGCTCCCCTGCTGGCAGCATTGGCTCAGTCGGATCACAGGCAAGTACCACTAATCTTACAAACATAGCCACTGGCTCAAGTCTCTGTTGGGCAAGTGATGATGAAGGGGAGATAACTCACCAAATACTTTGACATGTCCCATTTAGTTGTTCAGCCTAACTTGATACAGAAAAACTTTACTAATTTATACTTTTGGTCTTATGTTTTTAACATGTTTGTAATCAATATTGAGACACATGATTTGTTATGGGTTCTGAAATATGTCCATCTAGTAACTGTTATTGATACTTGAAACAGTGTTTGAAATTAAGCAAGAACGTCCAGGGATTCTTGTCATGCGTAAAATGTGAATGCTTTACAGGGTTAACCTCTGTAATTTATACCACACAAAGCACCTTCAGTTTTAACATTGCATGAAATGTTATTTATGACTTCACTGTCTACAGGGTAGCTGTGACTTGCCATCCAACAAGCTGACAAATGGTAACTTAAGCTCAAGTGCCACCACTCCAATGTCATCGCCAGGGACTATCAATGTCTCCCAGCGAATGCATTCCGTCATGCAACAATATATCAACTTCTCTGGTTATCTCGTCACCAGTCATGATCTCTGGTTGCAGGCAGATACTGCTGCACAGGAGTTTAAAGGTACGCTGAAATTGTCTTGTACATTTTGAAGTGATGCACATGATTCTTGCATTTATGTTTCTTTTTCTCTTAATATAGGATCTCATTTTGATTTTCAAGACTATATAAGTGAAGCAGGGAAAAGTTTGTTTAGAATTATTCATGTGATTTGTTTAGAATAAGTGTAGTTATGATGAAATGTGATATCCAAATATTATACATTATATGATGATTATTTTATATCCGGAGCAATAAGTCCACTCAATGGTGGTAATCTTATATATATATTTCTTTGTTTCAGAATTTTTTGATGTCCTTGACAACACCTGTGGCCCTCTGTCCTTACACAGTAGTGTCTTACAGCTGGTATATTATGTGAATGAAGGTTTACGGTTGCTGAAGGATACATGACATAGGGCTTGTCCCAGTGCTCACTGACAACACAACCAGGTGCTGAACTAAAATGGTCAACAGCCTAATCACAGTCTCATTATATATGTATAATGTGATATGTCAAGGACTGAGAATATTGACTCCATAAGTGCTCCCTTCACATCTTGGCTGCAGCATTGTGAAATCCGTATCATGCCAGACCTACATACCAACAAAATATTGTGCTTTTCAGTGTACTGATCATCAACGTTGCCTATTGCCACATGCTATATCATTAGGACATGTTCATTCATCAGAGTTACCACGTAATGAAACAATGAAGAAAACTCAACGAGAAAGTATGGCAACAGTCTTCATGGCTCAGTTTCAACCCATTCTTGAACTCATCTGACAGACATATTGTCTTCCAAAGGGCGGCCATGTTTTACTCAATGAATGGGACATATCCAGCTCAGCTCTGAAGATATATCCACAGTGCAACACATTGCCAGTTAATGAATCAACCCCAGTGGCTGTAAAACAGCAAACAAGATCCATCAGATCCCTGAAATATGTGAAGACTGATTATCCAATATGTGCCCTCTAAATGGCCATCACCATAACCCAGTGCTCATTATTTATTGTAATTTATTGCCCTGGAAGAGGAGCAGCTAATTACATGCCTACAGTGACTGACAGATCTCGGTGTTTTCCCACTCTCCTAGTCCACAACCAAATGCAGGCCTCCCTACCTGTGTGTGTGAACAGACCTTCTCTTGTTAATACAGAGAGGCAGGCTAAGTCATATGCAATTCCTGTGGATGCACGTACAGAAAGCCTGCCCTGAGAATCTCACCCTATAGAACTGACAGTTTGAAGCTGCATACAGTTGGCTGGACATTCTGACACTATGAATGGTAGACTGTTAAAGTTGGCAGGATGCTGCTGCTTCTGTGACCACAACATTGGGAGGGAAGTTGACCCCTCGAAACATGTGGCTTACTTTTGTACTCACATGACCATTTTCTGTTTGTAAATTTGTTTGGAAGACTACCACCAGTTTGGATGCTATTCTCAGCTGTACATATTCTCATACCTTTTTGAAATGATGGTATTTCTGTTTTTAAGTCCACTCCACTCACTGTGTTATACCCGACTACCTTTTATGAAATTGTTTGGGATTTGTGTGATGTCCCCTCTCCCTATAATCCTCCCTTCTGTGTTGCTGTTCTTCATGTTGGTGTTAGCTCTCAATTTGGTCGACTGACAGCTCCCTAGCTTCACGACTGGCGTCTATGGCTGGCTCGTCGACCTACACAAGTGCTGTGTCCTTATTCTGTGATTCTCTCTTGTCTTGTACTGTTGGATTTGGGAAATAACCAGTCAATGGGCTCATGATAGGAATCAAAATGCCAAAAGTTGTCCAAAAGATTTGCACATACATGAAATTGTATTTTATTGTTACTAGAGTGATGAATTATTTAAAGGATATCAAGACACTGGAAAATATTTTCACCTTTCCATGTATGTACATGGCAAAACCTATCATAATATCTTTCTTTGGGATTAGGGGTTCATGTGTTTCTGCTTCCAGTTTATACATATATGGTACAGTTGTCATGCGTCTCATTTCGTTTGTGTCATGATCATTTTTATAAATATATATATACATACATGTATATCTTTTATATATATATATATACATATACATATACACTCCAATACGATGGTGTTTGAGCCAGTCAATATGGTCTGAGTCAGTAGCAATAGGCCCATCATGTTTTGTAGCTTTCAATCATGTGACAATGGGTAGCCAGTGGTGCTGCTACTGGATGACTATGGAGGTTGGAATAACATGAGGAAATACTCCACAGCAGATGCCATGACAGCTATGACATTGCCACCAGTCTACTAAACCCATATCCTGGCTAGCTCTCGAGACAGCATCGGAGTGTCACATCCCTCATTCCAACATCATCAGTAAGACACATGGTCATCACCTCTCTGGAGTTTCCCATGCAGTAAATCAGTGTTCCAGAAGAAAGTTGTTTCACATACTTTCTAAAAATGACTAATCATTGATGTTTGATTTATGTCCTGTGATAGAAACATTTTTGACTTTGGCAACAGAGGAATCAGCTTTTGTTTGGTGTAGTATTTATCTTTTAAAAGTATAAGTAGAACCGGTAGTTAATTAACCTCGCAAGCATACTGATGAGAAATCTGTTCAGTGTTTTATCAGTCATAATTGTATTTTGTGAATATGTTTGGCCATACAGCAATTAATTTATGCTATGGGGCCAACAAACGGAATCCTTGTGTTTTGTACTTAAGTATGATGTTATGCATTTCTTCCTATGCATTGTGAAATTCAGTATTGCTCACCCAAGACACTGTCAAATATTCTCCTTCATCAGATATTATTTTGCAGAATTCAAAATTCTGATATTTATTTCCCCAATTATGTACGACACCAATCACAACTATCATGATTGACAAAGGGAGGTAACTAACTATTATTCATGTGGCTTGTCACTGACAATCTTGCATTAAGGCAACTCATTACATGTACACTGTCAGACAGAATGTGGTGCTGTAAGCATCATCTACACATGATACAAATGTCTTGATGTAAACTTGAAAACCTTTATGGCAAAGGCCATGTCAAGTCCTCTTCAGTATTCCTCTGATGTCAGGCTGCAGTTGTACTTCAGGGAAAACAGCATTTGTATGTGCAGACAATTCATTCAAAACTGCAAGTATTTTGCATGCGATGTTATAGAAATCTAAATTATATTCCTTATTATAATTAAGAGAAAACATATTCTTTAAAAGATGTATTTTTATAGCAATGTTCATGAATACTAAACTTGCAATATATATTGATGTTCTACTACACTATTGACATGTAGTCAGGATGCAATCAAAGCTTTGTGGAGAATCACATGTGAGATCTTAATGAAAAATCATGTTACAAATCAAATAATAGACCAATAGTCTGGAGAACAGATTCACTACAATGATATGTTTCACTCCAAAATAATCCTGACAAATGAAATATCTGCTTGCTGCATGATATCACAATGTTAAAGAGGAAAGCAATTCTAATAATAAATCATATTTAATAATAGATTGGAACTAAGCTGTATGAATAAATTGTGTTGTATCAATGCATCTGTTACTGAGATGATGTGATAATAAACATGAGACATCTGAGGGAGCACACCTGTAACCTTAGTTTGCGACAGCACAATGCCCAACAGGCACATGCAATCAAAATGATTACTTGCAGTCAATAATTGTACATTCACATTCTTACTATAATTCCATACTTGATTCTATTTTGTTGACAAAATTATTTTGCATTATAGTGGTTCGTTGCATGAAACAATGAAATAAGTTTCACCCAACAAGAATTTCTTGTGCTACTGTATCATAAGTGCTACTAGAATTTGTCGTACATTGTTGCATGTAATTGTTACACCTATGCAGCTCACGTAACCGTGGTGACAGGACAGTCACACTCTTTGCTTCTGTAATTACCTAAACTTTGGACTTCACTAGTATCCCAACCATCATATTTCTCAAGCCAAATGTTGTCAGCCGTCAACACCAATACTACTTTGAGGAACACTGATGCTTGAGTCTTCAATTTGAAATCAAATGAGAGGTTTATAAAAAGCTGTTTAACCCAGTTCATTCAGTGTTTTAAGGTCATATATTTTATGGGTAAAGATATGCAATAAACAATCAATATGCAATACAATAGGTAATTGTTTTTATTGTATTTTGGGTAGTTGTTATGAAGAGCAAGCAGACATTGGACCATTTCAGTGTATAAAAGTAATTACATTTCTAGTCCAAGGTTTAGGCACTTACTCTTCTATATTGTTCTGATTTGATGAAGCCCCATTTGTTGCAACAATGAAATCATTCTATACACGCAAACCATATCAGTGTTTATCTTTTGCTTCCACTAAAAGGGAAAATGTAATATACTTTTGTAGTTTCCATAAGTTGATATTGAAATGACATATTTGGATTATGGTTATTTACTTAACAAGTAAAACTCCTAAGTCCAATTTTTTTTTACTCCCACATGTTTTCAAATTATGAGTATCAAGCTACAGGTGAAATCTTATCCATATGTGCACAGTATTTACAGATAGAATATTTCCTTGAAATTTGTCAGTCCTTGATTTGCAAAACATTCACAAATTCATTTGGACATAATCCTTTTTATGGACCCGTTTCTTACTTACAATCATTCCTTTAATTGGGACTTTGATCACAGTGGGTTTGATCAGGCATATGCCTACTTTAATGTTGAGTCATTTGGATCAGAATGATGCCAGTGCTGACACCATGAAGCCAAATATATATGAGGATGTCTTTCCTAGTTCATTTCTTTGATTTTAGGGATTTTAAGACAAAAGAATACTAGGAATAATGGACAAGGAATGAAATCTGTCTTACCAAGACTGTCAATTCCTAAATATTCAAATTAAGATTGTGGGGTTTAATTGAAAAGGATTTTCCCATGACTCTGAAATAAGTATACAAATGAACTATGACCTAAAACTAAGAACATCTGAAATAGAATTTGTTGTTCTTTTGGATTAAGCTGTGTGACGTTGGCATTGCTGAAAGTGAAATATGCCATCATGGGAAAGAGGGAGGGGGGATTGGCTGTTTCAACATGTGTCTTATCAGTTCTTGTACATTGTACTTCTTTTATTTATGTCTGTTTTACTTAACTTTGTACATACCTATTATGTAGATGATCTATCTACCAACAGTAAGTAATACTGTTAACAAATTATGCACAAAATACATGTTTTATAATGATTGAATTGCATATTGATAATTTATGTAGTTATTTATTGACCTCAAAGGACATGATTTTATTTATTTGGGGGTTAAGAATTAATGCCGGCTTAGATAAGTTGACAAGACAGTTTTGTGCATTATCTTACAGATATGAAACTGTTTTTAACATTTCAGTGCTGAGACCAAATTTATTTCTGAAGCATAATGTTTAGGGAATCATGCTTTAAGGGCAGGAAATCTGTCATTATTTTAGTTATGGACATATCTTAGTTTCAGAATGCCAATTTTCTTCTATAGAATCCAGAACGTCAAAAGCTTTGTAGATTGTACATTTTGAAAGGCACCAGAGAGCTGTTTAGTGTTATTTACATACTAATAACAGATATGTTTATTAAAGTTATTGCCATAGATTTAAATTGTGATTTGAGTTTGCATAAATGAATTCAACCTATTTGTATGATGCATTTCATAGTCAATTGCTGTAACCACAGAACATCTATATCGCTACTGACATGTTCTCAACAAATGTTTCTCTATATATGAACTGTGCCTATCAGGTGATCATTGTCATGTGTACAAAGTTTTTGATCATTTGGACTCCATGCTCATGCAATATCAGAAGGGAGTCTTGGCTGTACTCATCATTTAACAATTTCACATCCATTGTAAATATGGTTAGGTTACAAATTACATTTCTGTTTTGTAGCTGTAGTTTATTTTAATATTTTAAAGCTGACATTTCTTCTTCAAGCAGAAGAAATGCCAATCTTTTGTGATGTTGCCTAAGAGCTACAAAATGGAAATGTACAATATTTTCCATGATATTGCAGATACTCTCATGCTCATTGTTTCATTGTAAATATCTGAGCAAACAGATGCAGCACCGTGTCCTATTTGGAGTAATCTTAGGCTGCCACATTTGTGTGAAATGTTGAGTACAGCTTATTTGAGTGCTGCCACTCATTTCATGGTGACATTCTTATTCTTTTTTTTTCATTATTTTTTTTTCTGCATACATTATCTCATTCACAGGTTGTGTATGTTCTGTTACCGTGGTTATTTTGTTCTCTGCTTCCATTAGTTGTTCATCCCTCATGCCATTGCTGTACATAGCTTTGGCAGACTATGCTCCAGATATTATATATGCATCATTTCATGTTCATTATTAAATACAAAAATGTGCAGTTATGATGTAAGACTTCTGTTATTTTTCTCTTTATTCACATATCACAGATAAAACATAAAGGAAGCCATAAAACTGCCCAAGAATATTGTGTGTTATTGACATTTGAAAGGTCAGTACTATACATTTTGTTAGCTATATTTGTAGTTGACAAATCATTCAGTGATGTGCTGATGCTGTTTTATAAGAGCCATGGTGTGTGTGGACGTTTGGTACTAGTACCGAATGGAATGTTTTGTTGTGTGAGGAACATTGAAAGAGCAGTGTGGAAGGACATGAATCATTAATGAACTTTATCAACATCTGTGGAATAAACTCAGAATCACTGTAGATATTACCCCTGGGGGATTCCTTCACAAGAAAATTATGGATGTTCATATGTGTGCATCAGTGTTCCACAAAACAAGCCATGCATGGTGAACAACACACATGTATTTACTCACATGCATGTTATGGCCTTGTCTTAGCTTATATGGATAATCTAACAAAGAAACAATACACCATGACAAATACTATAAACGTCCATATTTCTTTGTGTGCAAACATCAATGGATATAATATACACCAGTTGTAGAAACCCGAAGTTTTACTGTTCATTTATGACACTTATCAGTCACAGCCAAGTGCTATCACAGGCCTGCACATTGAGAAAACAAAGTTACATGTGACAAATGGTGTCATTCTGAACCCCAGTGAGACATCCTCTGATATCTGGGCATTCTTGCAATGCAGACTGCTGGGGGTTCTGTGGTAAGTGTCTGATGTTACTAAATATACTACCCATCAAATGTTTAGATGCACTCAATATAAATATATACATCGGAGATGACTTTCGGCACCAACATGGGAGAGCCAACTGCAAACCTTACACAGATGAACAGCACGAGGATCATGCATCAAATTGCCGAAAAGCATGTCCAAAGCTGCGTTTTGGTGTAAAGTTTTGTCAAGAGTTTCATCATTTATTGAACTCGTGACCATAATATTTTCAACATTATGAATTTGTTTTACAACACGTCAGTTCATGTGTAAACAGTATGGAATATTTCGCATAATGTTGTTTAGAACTGTTACTGAAGTGGCTACATTTAAAAGTGAGTGTAAACTTTTGATGGGTAGTACTAGTATACAATGTATTTCATCACACTTCCTTACATTGGTCATACAACATAAACATATACTGTCGTAACCATGAAAGTGACCTCGAAGGTTGGCGTGAGCGTGGCACCACCAGGGACAGGCTGTGAACCAATGACATTACACGAAACAAGATTTTTGCCCGCGATTTACAGATGACAGAAAAAAGTTAATGCAGCGGTAAGTGGTATGTCAGAGTATCAGTTCTAGACCACGGCAACTCATAATAAGGTAAATCCCGTTTAGTAATCTGGGTGGGTTATTTTGGTTTCCCTAGCTTCTTACTTTACTAACGAGGTTTGTATTTAGTGTGTATCAACCACTTTGCCATCTCAGTATGGGAACCAGCACCTCATCATCTGTTTTCACAACAGATTGAAAAGCCCACCCCAACTCTTTCAGTTTCTGACAGTGGGTGGAATCTGTCAACGTAGTCAACGAACCTCACTTGTGTCGGTGAACTTTGGTCAAAGTGATCAACCTGTGGAAACTGAATATGTGCAGCCTGCCTTGTTATTTCTATTACTGGAATAAAAGACATTTGAAACATCTCTTTTATTACTTTATCATTAGATCTATGTATGGAAAGGCTTGCTAACGCATATCACAATTATTAATGTGCCTACACATGACTTTGCAGGTACATTATTGCAGGCACAGATATATAATCAGCCGTTTCCCCCAAACAGTTGGAAGTATATAGTCGTCATGGTAGGTAAAAGGGCGGTTTAAAACCTAATTTATTTGATATCAGGTTTCCGTTTTTGTACAAGTTTCAATATGAATGTTATGTTGACACGAGTGATTTTCGTCATAATTAAATTTCATTGCAATTTTATTTGGTAAACTATAGTAGCCTAGCTATGACATATATCTGGTTAGAAATCGGTTTCATTACAAGGTAAAGGGTGTGCTTTTCTTAAAGTACCAGTAATGGCAAAGATATAACCATTATGACAAACATCAAACATCAATTATAGATATTATCATCAATAATATCAGGACCAACGGGCACTTGCGCGCAATAGAACACAGTTAGACCAAGAACGAACCTCAACGCATATTATCCAATGATTATTAACCCATTATTTAACAGCTTTTTTCGAATAAACATAAATACAACGAAGCTAACATATTTATACACACAAAACTCAATTGATTGTATATTAAAATACTCAAAATTGCCACGTCAAAGTGAGCGGGTTCCGTGGTGTAGTGGTTATCACGTCTGCTTAACACGCAGAAGGTCACGAGTTCGAGCCTCGTCGGAACCTCTTTTATTTGTGCCTTCATGATTTCTGACGTCAACGTTTTCTGTGAGCTACAAATATTTATGATTGATATGCAGCTTGACACTATTAATACATTGCATGGATGTGATAGAGCTGAAAAGTATATTACAACATAATATTGCAGTATAATACATGTTTCACACACGATGGGAAAAACGACCATAAATTTGTTTTCCTTTTCTGGCATGATTGTTGTGATACCACTGAACCATTGTCATGAAATAGAGTTTGTATAGTACAGACAGTGTTTTTACGCCGGTTTCTTTCTATTTCTATTCTTAACAGACAGCGCATAATCGAGAGTACGGCCTGTCTGCATAATTAAAGCGCACATAAAATCCGCTAGAACCCTCCAATTTCTACCTTTACTTTTATGTCTTTGTAGTGAGCGAGTGCGTTTGGTTTTACGCCGCTTTTTTATATTGCTGGAATATTGCTAAAAATAGGCTTCACACATTGTCCCTATGTGGGGAATCGAACCCGGGCCTTCAGCGTGACGAGCGAACGCTTTAACCACTAAGCTACCCTGCTACTTAGGAAAGTCAGTGTTTACACCCCTGGTTGTGTTTTGATGTGCTGCCTGTACACATCACGGGTATCTCATCAGTAGGAGCTGCACCTGGGTGGTATGTAGAAATACGTGTAGTTGGAATCTTGATACACTTACCGCGGATGAGCAGGCTCACAGAAAATACGTTGAAGACTACAGTTGACATATCTCCTTGTTCCAGTACATGACAGTCAGTATATGACAACAGTGTGACAATGGTGCAGATGGCGGCTTGGACTGTCAGAATAGCTGCCAGAAACGGGATCATGTTGGACAACATAGAATTACTTGCTACACAATGATAGTGAAACAACCTACCGTCACGTGTGCTGGACATTATGCATGTTTACATATCTGGAGTTGTGCTGCGGGAGATAGGCCCTCGTGCATTAGACAAAGATCTTGTCTCTGACGTCAACATATTTTACAAAAAAAAAAAACAATTCCTAAATTAAATTCTTCACCCCCCAAAAAAAGAAAACAAAAATAGAAACACACAGTCCAAAAATAAGGAAATGTATTAAACGCATTGAAGTGTAGATAAGTCGATTAGGCTTGAACATAGGTGGAGGAGATTCGACAGACGGATCAACGTATGTATTGTTGTCATTGTCGACATTAATTCACTCACTACACGCACTCACTACACATATGTGGACACAAGGGGGCGTTCAGGTCAGTACCTGGTGACACCACCCCTTGCAGCCGTCACTGCTCGACACCGCCCTGGAAGGGATTGCACAGGTGGTCGGATTTTGGCTTTGGGAATTCTTCGCCATTCCTCCTGCAACGCGTTGGCAAGTTCAGCAAATGTCTGAGGACGATGGTGACGTTTACGGACGCGTCGATCAAGTTCGTTCCATAGATGCTTAATAGAGTTCTGATCCGGCGATTTGGAAAGCCAGGGAAAGACATTGACGTTTGCATTGGCGGGATAGGCACCTGTTACACGAGCTGTGTGGGGTCGAGCGTAGTCGTGTTGAAACAGTTACCTCTGGCGGTTAAAACGTGGGAGGAGATGAGGTCGCAAGACTTGGTCGATGTAGCGATTTGCTGCAAGATTGCCTTGAACCACCACTAGCTCTGATATACCCGTGTAGGACATGGCTCCCAACACCATGACACTTTGTCCACCCATCGAACGCAGTTCGGCGGAATACGTTCGTGTCGACGTCGATAGACACGTTGTCTCCCATCCCGTCATTGCAGGACGAAACACGATCCATCGTTGATCCAAACGCGTCGCCAGTTCCTCAGGTTCCATGCACCATTGGACTCCTTGTTGTCGGTGTAATCGTGTCCGAACAGGTCCAACTTCTGGTCGAATTCTCGAATTCTCACTTCTCTCAGACGATTTCTGATTGTTTGGTAGGACATTCTTCGAAAACCAGGCACCTGTCCTGCAGTGTCGGTTGCCGTAGCAAATCGGTGACGTAGGTGAAACACCCGGATAAATAGTCCTGAGCAGGTTTGGTCCCTCTTGGTCTTCCACTTCTGGGACGATCTTGGGTCGAATTGAAGCGGGTATATCGATGTCATAATCGAGATATGGTGCTGTGGTAAACGTTGATGTGTCTTGCAACGAGAGACTGGAAGTCCCTGCTTCCAAACGTCTAATAGCGATATTTCGGTCAGTAGCGTTCAGTCTTGTCATTTTTATTCTTCATTTACGTCGTAAATTTCGTAATGAAACGATGAATTTGGTTCGGACTGTTATAGCCGATGTCTCTACTTATGTTTACGACACATTGCACGTGCATTTGGTGGAAAACGTTTTCTGCATTAACGCTTCATGAATCGTTTTCATTTTTTATGACAAACGTTTACAAACACATTTTGGGATGCGTTTGCGCACAATACACAACAACCACGACATGATTAAAGGGATTCAAACATAGGAATTGTCTTAATGACGATTGCTGTCAAAATGTATCGAAAAGAACTGCTGAAGACGTCTGTGCGTTTCTTTCTTTGAAGTGTGTATATTCTTAAAATATACTCTTAAAAAAAAAAGAAACTTGACACAGGA